TCTGTTGGGCAAAGAACACCACCATTAAAACAAGGAGGAGGCCTACAGAATGGAAAAATGTTTTGTAAACCTTCACTAGAGAACTAATATCTAATTTCATAAAGACACAAAACATACTGACCATCAAGAAAACAAAGAACAAAAATTAAATATGAGGATAGATCTAAACAAAATTTACAAAAAGCAGAAACTCAAATGACTAAGAGCATTTAAAGAGTGTAAGAGTCACAGGTGACAGAGGACACCAAGGAGCCAAGGCCTTCTAGACACAACACGACTCGTGCACACATAAACTCAGACTGTGACAGTGTGCAAAAGGGCCTGCATGAGTCAGCACCAGATGGGATCCTAGAGCTGAAAGAAGTGAACACATATCCCCATCCCCAACCTCAAAGCAACTCCTAACAGGTAGTCACTTGTGAATGAAATATTAATTTTCTCCAAGGGAGTCAAGCAGGGCAGGCAATCCATTCTTAAGGCGAGGCCTCATGTCCATCAGTAGGTGGCCAACAGAAATTCACGGCATCTTTGGGGCTCTTTGTCTCATGGTGTTGAGTCAGAACATTTTATTTCCTATCGTACAGGTCCTTAGCATATGTAATATGGCTTCTGTTTTTGTGTTTCATGGGATTCCTGTGTACATAAACGTATATATCTCTGCAGTTTGTTCTGGGGGTGTTTCATCCTGAGCTGGTGACAGGAAAAGGCAGCTGCTTATCACCCTAAAAGCAAACTGCTTCACATCTCATCTCCAGTCAGCAGGCCTCATAGATACAGACCACAGATCAAGGCAGAAAGTCATCCCTGAGCTCACTCCAGCCCCACTACTACAGACCCTCTTGGAACACGGAATCTAGTTAGTGTCTACAAGTGTCTACCCTGTACTCCTTCAGGAATTACCTGGGCTACAGCGTTCACTCAGACCATGCAAGACTTTAACAGTAATTTGTACACGGAAAGCTGCCAGGAACATGCATGTGTATGTTCTCTTCTACAACATGGGATTCAAAAGAACCTCCAATAAAAGAAGCATAAAAGTGGCCCTCCTCAGAGTTAATCATCTGGGGATTAAATATGGAAAATTCTTACATGATAGAAGTGAAAAACAGACATAAAAATAGAGAAAAATCCTAAGAAAACAAATGTTAGGTTAGGAAACTAAAGTGGATGGAAATAAAATTGGTCAAGTATGTAGTTTCAAAGAAATGTTCATTGTTAGAACAGAGCTTTAAAACTATTAGCTGGAAAGCTTCTCCAAGTATTGAGGAAAAAAGACAAGCAAACAACAAAATAACAAGAAAAATTAAAACAAAAAACAACAACAAAAATGAAGTGGGCAGAGATACCCATATTGATGATAGAACACCTAGGTTTAAGTCCATTTTTTTTCTTTTAAAGAATTATTTAATTATGTATACAGTGTTCTGTATACATACAGGTCAAAAGAGGGCACCAGATCTTATTACAGATGGTTGTGAGCCACCATGTGCTTGCCTGGAAATTGAACTGAGGTTCTTTGAAAGAACAGGCAGTGTTTTTAACCTCTAAGCCATCTCTCCAGCCCCAGGTTTGTCTTATTGACAAACATACTATACTGCTTTAAGTTACACAATTTATATACTTTCTCTATGTGTCAACCTATAGAAATATATGAACAGATAGCCAGGCAGCTGTAGTACATGCCTTTAAAACCCAGCTCAAGGTAGGCAGAGGTAGGCAGATCTCTGCAAGTTTGAGGCCAGCCTGGTTTATAAGACCTAGTTCTAGGAACCCTCCAAAGCGACAAAGAAACTCCATCTTGAAAAAACAAATGCATATATATTTGAATCAACAAGTACAAAAAATATTTGTTTTAAGTGTGTCTGGTAGGCCGCTCTAGAGAATAAAAGTAAACAATATTGGTGGATATTTTGATGAGAAAAAATTATGTTTTCTAATTTCTAAAGAAAATGTCATAAAGCCAGAATTCTGCATCAAACATGCATTTAAGTTAATTGAGAATGCAAAAGATATAATTTGTCATTAAAAACTGAAAAATTTCAGTAACTTCATATCCAGAATTATAATTTTTAAAGGAAGTATGGAAATGGACAGGATAATACTCAGGAAAAAACTATAAAAGATAAAAGATTCAGTTGAACTATGCACATAGGTTAAATGCAGCAAGTCTATTTCCAATGGTAGCCACAAAGATACAAACTCCTTTTCCAGTCAAACAAGAAGACTGGATCTATAATGAATAATATTTCCATAATTGGGCCAATGAAATTTGCTTAGTGGGTGAAGGTGCATGCCTGGAATACAACCTGATGACCTGTGCTCCATCCTTGAGTCCTGCAGGATACCGGAAGAGAACAAAGTCCTGCAAGTTGTCCCCTGACCTTCACAGGCACACTGTGCCTTTAAGAAATATGTACTTAGGGGCTAGAATGAAGACAGATGACATGATAGTCAAGACTGTGCACCGCTGTTGTAGAGAACCCGAGTTTTGTTCCTCAGCACAGAGGCTGACAAGTGACTGTAACTCCAGCTCCACGGGATCCAGTGACTTTGCACTCACATGCACATTTCCAAATACCACAAACACAGGCACACACGCACAAACACACACACACACACACACACACCACACACACCCATACACACACACCCTGCACACAATTCTAAAAAATCTAAAAACTATATACTGGTTTTTCACTTTTAACTCACTTGGAAATAAAGCACAAGAATCGTAACAAAATCCTGCAAAACATCCGAGATTTTGACTTACTGTAGAGAAAGCAACCGAATCGAGAAGATTGTTAAAGGATGCTAGAAGAAAAGGGAGGAAGGAGGCTAAGTACCTTCTCCTCCACAAAGTAAAGAGAGACAGTATCTAAAGATAATATATCAAAATCAATTTCTAAAACTAAGCTGTTCAGCTGTCTTTCTGAAAAGGATTATATCATTGAGTCACTACGTACTCCAAGGGACAGTCTCTTCCCTAAAAACGACCCAGCTAATAAACAGGGGGGAATCAGTAGTATGCCACCATTTTACAACTCCCAGGGCAGGAACAGATCCCGATAACAGTAGAACACATATAGAGGCCAATGTCTGCACCCAGACGGATGTGAGTAACCTATCCACCCTTTCTCCCTCAGAAAGCCAAACCAGAATTTGATCAGAACTCTAGCCATAATGACTCATTTACAGGTCATGAAGAGAACAGAGACATATTAATGACACCACAAAAATTGGAAGGCGTCTACAGGACACTACACAGGTAACTCCGGTCCTATAAATTATAATGGGAGAGAAAAACTCAGCATTGTCATGATTATATTTGTATTATGCTTGGAGAAATCTTGACTAAAATAATAAGAGGAAGAAAATGGGGGAGAATGAGAAGAAGAGAGAAAGGAAGGGGAGGGGAAGAGATGTAGAAAAGTGAAGGAAACTGTGAGTATTGGAATAGAATGTTGGAGCTGCTGACAGAAGAGGCGTGAGGAGCCGGGTGACAGTGGTGCTGGCCTTTCAATGCCAGTCTTCAGCCTCAGGAGGCAGAGGCAAAAGAATCTCTGTGAGTTCAAGGCTCTCCTGGTCTACAGAACACGTTCCAGAATAGTTTTCAAAGCTACAAAGAGAAACCATGTCATAAAACACCAAAAAACAAAAAACAAACAAACAAAACAAAAAACAACAATAAAACTGTCTGGTGAAGAGGTGATTCACCCCCAGTGGGTCAGATTGTAAGATGTCACCAAGCCTCTGCCACTTTGCTACACTGCCTTGGAGAACTTCCTTCCTTCCTTCCCATTGACCATTCTTCTTGTTGTTGTTGTTGCTGTTTCTCTGTTTGTTTGTTTTTGTTTGTTTGTTTTTGTTTTTCGGGAAAGGTTTCTGTGTACCTGGAAGTAGCTCTTATAGACCAGGCTGGCCTCAAGTTCAGGGAGATCCTCCTGCCTCTGTGTACCAATTGTTGGAATTAAAGGCATGTGCCACCATCATCCAGCCCCCACCACCCTTCTTAACAAGACAGCCTCTCTAGAGACTAGGCTACAGATAACACAGAAAGTCCCCTATAGCTTGGGAGGCACTGCCACTTGTGAGGAGCGATAATGTAGTTTTAGACACTGAATCACCGACTGGCATTCAACAACTTGCAAAAAAAACCAGGGAGCTCCACTCCTCTTACTGACTTCAAGCAGCCAGAATGAGTGCCCAGGGTCTGGCAGAATTGCTCAGCCCTGGCAGAGACCTTCAGTTCAAGCAGGTGCAACACCAGGCTGTGCAAAAGCCTGAGTCTGCCCAGGATCTGTAAAATAATACATTCGTTTTGTTTAAAGCCACCAAGAGTGTGCTAGTTAGTTATGCGGAAATAGAAAACGAATACCTGTTTCTTGCACACGAGTACGTTAAATCTTAGGTGAGTAGAACAGCAGGAGAATAGCAGGAGGGCTATTCCAAGTTCAGGGCTAGACTGGACTCCTAAGTGCTAGGCTGCACAGGAAGATTGCCTTTAAAAAGGAAGCATGCTAGAGGATGGGAGATTACTGCAATAAGGCATAAATTGTTTTAGCCACTGAAATTTAAGAGGGCTTAGAATTCATCTGGGTTCTTGTTCACATTCAGCTTCCAGCTCAGCAAGTCTGGAGTAGGGCTCCTGATTCTGCACCCAGGAGAAAGACCGCTGATGCACACATCAGATATTGATTCTTATTGATTCCTCACCGAGAGCCCAAGAGAGCTCAAGGCCCTGGGCCCCATGTCTTCTTCTTCCCTCCTGGCTCACCACTGGCTCACCACTGTAAGCCCAGCTCTGGCTTCGGGGGTAGGAGAGTCCACTTTCTGTCCCCTTCAGCCTAGCAGCAGCCCCTCCTTTTGGACACAGCTAACCTTGGCAAGAGCTGCCAGCCCTTGGCCCTCCCAGAATCATATCCCGACCCCACCCCACCCCACTCCACCCCACCCCACCTCTGCCGCCAAGAAACCCAGACCCCCAGACCTGGCACCCGGACCTGCTGCTTTGGTGACAGCAGCAGGAATGCTCTGCAGGAACCCAGAGAGCACTGTGGAGAAGGTGGATGCTCCCCGGAGACCCGGCTCTGCTGTCTTCTCAAAGAGGAAGCTTCCAAGCCACCCAGGCTGCCTTTTATGCCTGAAGAATTGTTTCAGTTTCCATTCTGCGCCCAGGAGCCTTAAGTTTCGATTTCCACCCATCACTAATCCAATTGGAGAAGGAGACTTGGGAAATGTAGCTTTTAGCATCCTTCTATAAAGTCAGGACTGTCAGATGGTGAAAAGTGAGGCTTTGGGATTCTTGAGGTAAGTGTGGAGAGAACCCTGACAGAGAAATCTGAGGATGTCTAGGCAAGGAAACAGTGGAGAGGCCAAAGAAGCCAAATACCAGGTGTGGTGGGTGCCCTCTGCTCCCACAGGTATGCTAAAGACATTAAAGTGGGGGCAGGAAAGAACTAGAGAACAGGAGTTTATTACTGAAGCCTGTGATTAAACTATGTAGGATACTCTTTGACCAATAAACACCACTAAACAAACTGAAATTGGAATTACTTGTTTTTATTTCTACCTTGATTTTTTTCTTCCCTCCTCCTGCTCCTCAGTCCTTCTCTCCCTCCCTCCCTGTAAATTAATGTAGTAGGAAAAACATAACTTACTTGCGAGTAACCCAACGACCACACTCTTACAACACAGGAGGCTACTATGAGCTCAGTGATTTGAGGATATCCTTGTATTTATTATATTGTTATCACAATTTTACAAGATGGGTACTTCTGGGTTGCTTTATAGATGAGATAAATGAAAATTAAAGTGATATAAGAGGCAAAAATGGTGTCAAGATCCCAAACTTGACATAATTAAAAAATTTGTTTACAGGATTTGTAATTACCTGAACTGTCAAATGTTTTTCATTCTAGAACTGAAATTTCTTCAAGCTAATAGAGCAATTATTTTATTTTATTTATTTTTCGATTAAACTTGTATGCTATTGTTATCCTTTCGGTTTTCTTGTTGGGCATTTGGGGTAAGCACGTACTTTTTATCCTGTGGTTGTTTTGACTTTTAGTGACTTCAGATTTGTCAGGTAGGAACTTAATAAACTTTTATTCCTCCCCATCAGTTTTCTAGTCCTAGTCTGCTTTTTGTTACTTTAATAACGTATCATAAACCTGAGTAATTTATAAGAAATTAACTGTATTTATAAAAGTTTTGAAAACTTTGAAATCCAGTGTGTCGGCATCTGACAAAAAGTAATTCTGGGCAGTGGTTCTCAAACCGCTCAAAGGCTGCAACCTCTGAATACAGTTCTTCATGTTATGGTAATCCCCAACAATAAAATTATTTTCCTTTCTACTTTATAACTGCAGTTTTGCTACTGTTGTGAATCATAATTTAAACATATGATATGCAAGATATGTGATAGGAGCCCTGGGAGAGGGTTATTTAACCCACAAGTTGAGAACCGCTGCTGGGAAGGTGATTCACAGTCCTTTAATTGCTGCTAATCAATCTATGAGGTGGAGCCTTTATAATCAACAGGCAATCCCATTGAAAACCTGCACCCCATCTTCATTACATTGATGAAAGTGTTTACGGTATATAATTCTGGGTGACACATTGAAACCATAACATACCCCAAAGTACATAAACACCCCGAAGCTGACGACTCCATCTGCTATTATGGTTTCTGGAGTTTCTGTTTACTTTTCTCTGCCTCCATTATCTGCTCCTGTGCCACACCCTGTACTTTCCACTGAGGTTTGAGAAGCACACGTTGCATTTCCACTTTACTTTATGCCTGTACTTTAGACTCTTTGAATTCTTGAGTGTTTGTCTTTCAGGGTGAACTTCCTTAGCTAACATTCAACCTTTCTTTACTTAACAGAACAACTATTTGTGCCTTGTGTTTTCTCTCTATACTTACCTACAGTTTGATACTCTGAATAAGTCAATTTTCAATACCTGGTCATTAAAGGAAATGACCAGATTTGTATGCCATCAAATTAATTATTCATTAATACCACAGGCAAGAGGCTACAAAAGGTTCCAGATTTGTAATCTGCAAAATGTTTGTCCAGGGGCATCTAGTATGTAGGCAATCGATGTCCCTCAAGAAGGTGTAGCACTTGGCTGACAAAGGTCCTGTTTTTTACCAGAAATCCATGACCAAGTTCTGTTTTATTTCAGTGAGTCCTCAGAGCATTTCCGTGACAGATTCTCTGAAGGCACTAACTGCAGGGCTCCCTGGGTCCAGTTTAGACATTTTTCATAGCATTTGATTGAACGGGGCCTCATTTATGGTGCACTGATTTACAACTAGTGTCCGTAAAATAAAATAAGATTTGCAACGATGGACATAATTTCTTCAAGCGTCAAACAACTAGACAGTGCTTGACTTCTGTACTGCGGGTGCCAAGACAGACAACAGTTAGATCTTATGGACGGCAGAGATGAAACTGTCCTTCTCGTCAGCCAATGACCCTCAGGGATTTAGCCAGTGTGACAGGACCTTGCACCTATGTGTTGTGATGGTTAGTTTTATATCAGCTTGACACAATCTGAGAAAAGGAAACTTCATCTGAGAAAATGTCTGTATAAGACCAGGCTCCAGGAAAACTTACAGGGCATGTTCTTAATCAGGGATGGATGGGGGAGAACCCAGCCCATTGTGGGTGGTGCTGCCCCTGGGCTGGTGGTCCTGCGTCTTACAAGAAAGTAGGTTGAGCAAGCCATGAGGAGCAAGCCAGTAAGTCAAACTCTTTCATCACCTCTGCATCAATTCCTGTTTCCAGGTTTCTACTCTGACTGTCTTTGGTAATATATTGTTTTAAGACAAAGTAAAATAAACCCTTTTGCTCTTGAAGTTGTTTGGCGCCTACTGTTTTATCACAGCAGCTGAAACCCCAGCTACAACATAAGTGAAACTGCCATCCCTTGTAGTGCATTGTAGATACTCATGTGTCCTCTATGGGTGTTTCCCACTATGTTGTTAAAAGAGGAAGTCGTTGGGGGCAATATCGCTATGCACACTTATGGATAAGGATGGATACAATAATTTTGACTAAGCATTTGTGTATGATAACTGGTTGCTGTGTTCCTTCACAGGTAGCAGACCCCACCCTGGTTGGTTCTGGAAGCCCAACTAGAGATGGCAAGGGAATGAAAGGACAGACACACAGAAACAGGTGCAGAATCCAGAACACAGAATGTTTATTAGATGCATTACAGGGTTATTTCTCTGTTTTAGTGGGTTGGTAGGAGGTCTCTGAAGGTGAGCAATCTTGGCTGCAAACTAAAAGGAGGAAACTGCAGTTGTGAATTTTGCACTCACTCGTCAATTGTTTGTCAACATCACTACATGCACACACTGTCGACATTGACAGTCAGACCAGAGGAAGATAATGTCATCCCTCCAAGCCTGAGCAAGTCAGTGCTATGCCATTCTCCTGGGTCTGAGACAGTGGTCTTTGATATGGTTGTACCAATGTGAGCATAACATATTCACTCAAGACTTTGCTCTATACACATTTAATCAAGGCTTCCTTAGCCCCCTATACAGATAAGATAAACTGAAACAGAGATACAGTTAATAATGTGTTAGTGAAATCTATAATAGCAAGTTTCTCATAGTTTTGAAGACCTTTTCGTCCAGTTTCATGATGTCAGCATCTGGTAAGAGATCTGATCATACAGAACAATGTTTAAGAATATTGAGTATTAGACATATGGACTTATGGTCCATGCTAAGTTAAAGTGGTAATCATGCACTTTGGAGAGCAACTAACTGTTCTCTTTACATTTCAGAGCACGGCAAATTAAGCCATTGAATAAAAATGCTGTGAGGTTAACCACCTCTGATCAATAAGTCTGTAATCCCTGAAGAGCATACTGTTTTTCATTTGCATGTTTTGTGACTCTGAACTGACTGCTATGTCAGGAGTTTATCTTGCATGTATCATTATTAAAATAAAAGTTTAATATTATTTAATCTACATCTGTAACAAGTTTTGAGAAAATCAAGGTAGTGCTGTGTGTGGTTTAAATGAAGATTTTCTTTTCAAATGAAGATCTTTTCTTTCATAGAGACCCCATGCTGTACAAAGTTTGTGTAGAATTTAATGGTGTAGTCATAACTTCAATATTCAACTTAAATTCTGAAACAAAAGTCCATGGTCTCATTATACTCATATGTGTTCCTAAGTAGAGGCTGTTGTGTGGACACTTCATTTACCTCCCTTTCTTCCTGAAGAAACAAATAAAATGCTTCCTTGTTTAAGAAGAAATACATTTAAACTATGCCACCAAAGGGTGTAAAGTTAGAACAGTGACAGTGGGTCTGGAATGTTTCTGCCACAGGATCTTCTGACACCTGTTGACCAGTTACTCAGAGGAATCCTTGGGAGCTGAAGATGCTTAAATTCTGCGGACATTCCTTCCCAAAATAGTTTTTATCAAATCACTATTCCCAAACAAGCAGCAGGGTGGGCGGACTCCCGACTGGAAGGCTCAGCCACTTTCCCTAATGGGTGGCACATTGTCAGGGATTAAATCCTCTGTGGGTCATCAGCTGATTTTCTCCTTTGTTCCACTCTTCCTTTCTGCTTTCCTAGGGAATGAGAGTCCACACATCCCAGGCCACTTGCTTGAAGCAGTCACTGAATGACCACACAGCCGTCTGCAGTTGTCTGATAGAGACCACGATGCTTCAGAGTTAAGCATCTCTCATCAAGTCCGTCCATGAGGTAGGCGGAAAGCAAACTGAAAAAGAAAGGAAACTGATGTTTGATTTAAGTCAAATAAGCATCAAAACCTCTTCTAAGGTGCTGGAGAGATGGCTCAGAGGTTAAGAGCATTGCCTGCTCTTCCAAAGGTCCTGAGTTCAATTCCCAGCAACCACATGGTGGCTCACAACCATCTGTAATGGGGTCTGGTGCCCTCTTCTGGCCTGCGGGCATACACATAGACAGAATATTGTATACATAATAAAATAAGATAAATATTTAAAAAAAAAACCTCTTCTAAATATCCACTTGTCTTTGTAGATTTATCCTTCTCCTCTAATTAAAAAAATGAAGAAAATCAAAGTATCTCTTTCAATAATTCATTACTTTTATATCCACTCAATTTTAAATGTGAAAACTT